GTCTGCTGTTGAAGTGCCCTGGTCTGTGGTGTTTTGTCATGGCAGCCTGAGCAAGCTAGTGTACTCCTTATCAGGACCAGGAGCAGGAGCAGGGGGTGGAGCCCTGTGGCTCTGGCAGCCTTGTCTGTATCTTTATTGATACCTTCTCACACCTGGAAGGCTCCCGTGGGCGGGGGGTAGGTCCGAAGCACCTGGGTGGCAGCTGTCTTGGTTGGTGCCCTGTGTACCGAGCGATGTGGTGACCACAGTCAGATTAGGGAGGCCTGGAGGAGGAATGGGAAACCTACAGTGTAAACTGTGAAGTGCTGTGCCAGTGGGAGAAGTGACTTTTTTGTGCTGCTGAGACGCTAGTGACCGATGAAAGTAAGATCCGACTTTGAAGTGAAACTCGACTTATTCTGCTTTACAGTCACACAGACTTCGGTTCCAATTTTGCATCCGTCACTAACTCTCTGTTCTAATATTTCCCATCTTAAAACTCACTCACCCTCCCCATTTCCCTCTTAACCCCACCTTCCCCTCCAGCTGCTGCTCCCTGGAAGGGTTGTCTGCAGTCACTTCCACCTCCTCCCCGTGTAGCCTGGACCCTCCACTCCCCCAGGGCTGCTGGTGACAAGATCTCCCATCATGCCTCCGGCTTCTCTGTCCTTATCTTTTGCAATGCCTCAGCTGCCTGCAGCTCAGCTGACCACTCCCTTTCACTTGAAATGCTTCCTTCTCTTGGCTTCCCCAATGCACATCGCCCCTTCTGGGTTTTCCTCTCACCCCTTGGCCTCCTTCTCAGTCTCTTTTTCTACTTCCAACTCTTTCTCTCAACCTTTAAATGGTGGTGTGTCCCAAAGCCCTGTGGTTGTTTCCTCTTGATCTACATTCTTTCTCTCAGTGACAGCATTAAGTCCCACGGCTGAGAAATATCCTCCCAACTCAGACGATCTCTCGGTCAAGATCTTCAGCCTCACCTAGGCTGTAAGCCCCAGGCTCACGCGCCCCACTGCTAACGGCCTCTCGGATGTTGGACGGCATCTCAAACTCATCAAAAATAGAATTTTGATTTTTTTTTTCCCTCTGGCCACAGTGGATAATTCTGTTCTCAAACACACCCAACCCAGTCACAATGCTGGGGACATTGCATTGTGGCTCCTTCCGCCTGGAAATTTCTTCTCTCTGATGCTCACTTATCAGCCTCCTTCTTATTGTTTGGGTCTCAGATCATACGTCACCCCTTCGGAGACGACTTCTGGTCATGAGGACTCAAGGAGCCTCCGAGATTCTCTCTACCACTTACCCTGTCTTAATTCTTTGCACACTGTTTATTATTTTCTGATACTTCTTGATTTTTATTTGTTGAGTGTTTTTTGCCCATTGGAAGGCGAGCTCCAAGAGATGGGGACGGTGTCTGCCTTGCTCTGTGCTGTATCCCCAAGCCTAGAACAGGCTGAGCCTCCTAGAGTCTGAAGAAGTATTTGGTGAATAACTAGATGAAGCCACTTACCTTCTTCAGTCCTTAATTCCCAACTCTTAGAGAGTGGATCATTAGGAAGTTGTAATTTTGTCTACTTTTTAGAATTAAAAAATTGATCGTTGAGGTGGAGAAAAGTCCTCAATCTATGCCATTTCAGAGGCAACAAAACCTTGTGTCTTTTAAAACAAGGGATGAAAAACTCACAGTTGTCTGCCCTTTTTTCTTGTTGATCCATTAAAATAGAAGCAAAGGATGGGAAAAGTTATAAAACACCAGGAGTGAGATGAGAGGAGAGAATGGCTGAGAAGATGCCCACACAAGTCTGGGAGCTGCAGGAGAGGGACCGTGCTGGGGGCTCAGTGGGGTGACTGTTAGAAGGGGGCCCAGCCCAGAACCCCCACAGGCCAGGGCCTGGAGGCACGAGAGACAGTGAGGGGTGGGGCTGAGAATGTGGGACTGGCGACCAGTCAAGTGTGTGGCTGGCTGGACCCTCGTGTCCCCGTTTTCGCCTGTTTCTGCCAGGCTGCTGTGTCCCCCCGCTGACCAGAAGGAGATGGGGAGCTGGAAGGGACCGAGCAGGTGAGGGGCAGGTGGGAAACAGGAGGACTAAGCAAAGGTCTGAACCCTGAACAGTGGGACCTACAGCCAGGGTTGCCCCTAGCGGGTATGGGGCTGATAAAAACATTTTTGTGGGGTCTTTGTCTATATTAACAATTTGAGCCACATAAAATCAGCCGGTTAGGTCTATTCTGGTGACTTGATCTCATGTGATCTTGTGATCAAATTCTGTCCTGGCCATAAGGATCCATCTTCTGGCCAGGCCACCTTCCTGGAACCGTGGTGTGGCCACCAGGCCCCAGGATGACTCCAGAAGTACGAATCCTGGGACTCCTTGGGGCATGTGATCAACTGCTCGCCTGGAGGAGAGGGTCAGAGAGCCCCTGGAGGGGAGAAACAGGGACGAGGGCTCCTCGGGGACCTGCTGTGGGCTTGGGACACCTCAGCTGCACTGCACTTCTGCCCCAGCCCGTCCTGGGGGGACCTGAGGGGGAAATTCACAAAGAAGGCATTCAAAGCGTGGGGTTCCCATGAAGTGTGGGGCCCTGCTTGCTTGGGTGTAAGGGCCGTCCTGCCTCCCCCATTGACCCCTGGAACGCTGGGGGTCAGACAACACCCAGGTAGGACAGAGAAGACATGGAATCGTCTCAGAGAAAGGACCCGTAGAGCCTTACACTTGAGGGCTCCCCCGTGAAATGCAGTCATCCCAGAGTGAAGGCTGGCTCTCGAGGATGCCCTGTCCACACACGCCGAGTGTCCGTCCAGATCCTTCCTTCTTCTCTCCTGCATGTGAACAGTCAGGGAACTTCAGCTGTCTGAGGAGAGCCTCAACACGAACCACAGGCACCAGATAAAGCAAACTTTAAAGCAAACAAAAAGCGAAAAAAATGGAGGAAATAGACCTAAATCAGAATGTGGGGGAGAAAGAGCTCGGAGCTCCTCAGCAATGAGCTATCGCACCCATGAAACGAGTGGAGCGTGCAATGAAGCGAAAAGGGACACCCACAGAACGGGAACCCGGGCCTGGGAACGGCACAGGCAGCAGCCGAAATGAAAAAGTCAGCGGAAGGTTTGGAAGATAAAGTCAGTGGAATCAACCAGGAAGCAGAGCAAAAAAGACAAGAGACAGAAAATGAGAGAGAAGCTAGGGCACTTGCAGGATCTGCTCAGGAAGTCCCGCAGTTGACAAACAGGAGTTCAAGAAAGAGAAGGAGAACGGAGAGGAGCGTGATGGTCAGAGGAATCCTAAGCATGGATGTGTTGGGCTGGAGAGACCGAGACTCCGGATTGAAAGCACCCAGGGCCAAGGACAGTCAGTGAGAGGAAATCCACACCGAGATGCGGCGCGTAAAAAGTTCACAAAATCAGTGACAAAGAGGGAAATTAACCTCCCCCAGAAGAAGGAGGATCCCAGGGGCAGCAGCGGATGCCAGAAGACGGGGAGGTAAGGTCTTCCGGATTGGGCAGGAAAATGATTTTGAATCAAATGTAATGCTCAGCTCAATCAGCAGTTACATCTGAGGGTGGCGTGTAGATGTCTTCAGCCAAGACTCAGGAAGTGACTCTCTGTGCGTCTTTCCCTGAAAAGCACTGTGAGGCGTGTCTCTGCAGAATGAGGACACGGCCGAGAAAGAAAACGTGGAAGAAACAGGGGCTTCAGCTCGGGGAAGCTGAGATGTGAGTTCTGGGCGGGTGGAGGGACGGGAGGCCTGGATAGCAACCAGCTGAGACTGGAGAAGGAGGAAAGACGGCACCTGGGAGTGGGGATGTCCTGTGGAAAAAGGTAATTTCTGTGTTATTTCTTACAATAAAAAGCACTTGGTTAAACACAGAGAAAGATTTGCTACAGATCTTAGAGCAGTTTGGGAAAATTCAATACTCAACTTCAAGATAAAACAATAAGTAACTCAGGAAAAAAAATTATTTGAAAGGAAAAGCCATCATCCAGCCAACTTTTACTGAATGTAAGACACCCTCAACTGTAAAACTTATCATTCCTTTAAGAAGAAAGAAAAAGCTCTTGCCTATTAAAAAGGCAACTTGTAAGTTGTGGGACCCGTCCACGTTTCAGAGGTTGTGTTAGAAAGTTAAAAAATGTGCTCCTTAGAATTGGTGGAATTAGCGCCCTAGTTGGCTTAGCAGTGAACTGTATTTATGTAAGTACTGATTTAGCCACAAATCGTGATATAAATTTATTTTGAGGACGAGAAGAGGACAAGTGTGATGTGTACCTGTGTGGGACATCTAAGGGTTAAATACTTATGGACCAAAAAAGAAAGGCGGTCAATGTCTAGACTCGATGTTAAGAATCAGCAGCGTTACTGAGACACGGAGGTAACCACATGAAAGAAGGCTGCCATAGCTGACAACGGTGGGCTCGGCCCGGGGCAGGGGGGTGGGGGGGTAGGGTGGGGAGCAGTGGTTTGGGGAATTGCTGTTTTCTCTAACAAGCCTGTGCGTATCTGATGCGTGATTGACAGGTGCATGTTACTTTGATGTGAACAAAGTTAGAATAAAACACACACACACACACACACACACACTTGATCTTTTTGGAGCTTAAAAATGGGACAAAAATTGGAGATTTGGGGCACCCAAACCTACTTTCTCTTTGAACTATCTTATCTGGACGTAAGGTCAGGCCATGACCATATCCTGCTTGATTGGCCTCCAGAAAGGCTGGGTACCCTCCCCGTACCTCCCCTCCGTTGTCCCCCAGAATGGAAGGGTGGTCACAGATGGCCCGGAGTCCTCTTATCTTTGCAGAAGGCTGCACAGTTTACAAACTGTTCCAGGCATTTCACCCGTTTGGTCCTTGCCAAAGCCTTGACAAGCTGCAACCACCTGCATTTCATGTGCGTAGAGGCCTGGACGGGAGCGGCCGCGGGGGCCGACCCCACCGGAGATGGCTCAGCCCTGCCTGCCGCAGACTCACAGTGTGGCTGTCGCCTGACCCCATTCTGTCCCTGTGATGTTTTAGAGGAAAGAGGAAGAGGAGAGGAAGCGAGGGGAAGAGCAGATTCGCCTCCAGGAGGAGCAGAGGGCAAAGGAGCTCTACTGGAGCCTGAAGCGGGCGCAGCTGCAGAGCCCGGCCAGCGAGAGCGAGGAGCGCGCCTGGGAGGAGCAGCGTGAGTACCGCCCGGCCTGCCTGCCCCCTGCTCCCCCAACTCACTGAGTTGCTGAGTCTTCGTTCCAGCTCACTCACTCAGCCCGGGGCCAGCCACGTGCGTGGTCCTGCTGAGGAGTCAGAGGGTAAAGGCTGGAGGGCATATTCCTAACACCAAAAACAAAACCCTACTGAGTAACCGGTAATTTCCTGGCTCTGCGCTAAGCCCTGGGGATCCAGAGATGAGGGACCATGGGGCTCGTCTAGGAGGGCCTCTCCGGCCGGGCAGGAGATGGACACACAGGCTAAGGGCTGTGAGGGAGAGTGAACCATGTACCGATGGAGCAGAGTGCCTGTTGTGGGGGTTCCAGATGAGGTGCTGTCATGTGAGGCTTGAGGGTGGCCCGGGAGCCACTGAGACCGAGAGGCTGGAGAGGATGCTCTGGAGGGAGCACTCGACGTGTGTAAGGCACGGCCACAGAGCGTGTGCTGTGCTTAGGAAGCTGGAGAGGGGTGGGCAGCCGCAAAGCTCGGAGAGTGTCCTGGGTGGTGGGAAGTTGGGTGGGAAGTTAGGTGGGATGGGGTTGGAGGGTGGTGTTTGAATACGTCCCCGGGATTTGCTTTCATCAGGATGGTAAGACATGCAGACACAGAAACGACTGTGGCTCAGGAAGAGGGTTTTCCTCGCAGGGTCCCAGAAGCAGGAGGCAGAGCACACCATGCAGGGCCCCACGGGGAAGCACCAGGGTCAGTCAGGAGCAGGGAGCCAGCGCGAGATGTGGGCAGGAGCCTTTATCGTGGTTTCTTTGGGAAGGGGAAGGCGAGGAGGGGAGAGCAGGTTAGGACGGGCTGGTGTGAGTGACTTCAGCAGGCTCCGGGGTAGACGGCTGCTCCGGCTGTCTGATCCTGGCCCTCTGGTGATGAGGCAGGTGGCCAGGGACCCCGAGTGTGAGGGCTCCACAAAGGAGGTGGCTGGGATACGGGGTTTGGACTGGGTGGTTTGTGTGTGACGGGCTCGCTTGCAGGTGAGTCCTGTACTGTCTTTAGGGATCGGCCAGCCCTCTTTAGGGTCACCAAGGCCCCAGATGTGAAAACGTCAAAAAATACAGAAAATAGAAAGGTGTGATTAACACGAGTGGACAGTGGGAATCTCTGAAGGTGAGAGCATGATTCAGGCTGGGTTTGGGTGTGAGCGAGAGGAGGCTGTTGCCATGGTGCACGTTAGGGACGACTGGACCTAGGGCCACAGTGAGGAGAGCAGAGCTGCGAGGTGCCTCCTCCTGGCCAGTCCCCTGTCCTCAGCACTTCTTAACCACATGCCAGCTTCCTTAAACAGACTTTAAAAGAAACTAAGATATAATTCACATACCATAAAATTCATCCTTTTAAAGTGTACAGTTCAGTGGTTTCTGGTGTACTCACAAAGTTGTGCAACCATCGCCACTAGACAATTCCAGAACATTTTCCTCTGCATGAAAAGGAGCTTGGTGCCCATCGGCAGTTACTCCTCCCCCCACCGCACCCCTGGAAAGGGCAAATCTAATTTCTGTCTCTCTGGATTTGTCCGTTATGGACATTTCATGTAAATAGAATCAAACAGTATGTGGCCCTTTGTGTCTGGCTTCTTGCACTGAGCATCATGTTTTCAAGGTCCATCCACGCTGCAGCCTGTGTCATGACTTCATTCCTTTTTATGGCTGAATAAAATTTTAATGTGTGTATATTCCACGTTTTTGTTTATCCATTCGTCAGTTGATGGACGTTTGGGTTGTTTCCACTTTTTGGCTGTTATGGATAATGTTGCTCTGAACCTTCATGTATGTTTTTGTGGGAACATGTGTTTTCAGTTCTCTTGGGTATGTATCTAGGAGTAGCATTTCTGGGTCATGGGAACTTTATGTTTGCCGTGTTGAGGAACTGCCCGTACCATTTTGCAGAGCAGCGGCATCATTTTATGTTCCCACAGCAGTGGGTGAGGGCTCCCGTTTCTCCACATCCCTGTCAGTGCTTGTTTTGAGTCTCGCCACCCCAGCGGATGTGAAGTGATAACTCATGGTTCTGATTTGAATTTCCTTAATGACTAATGGTATTGAGCATGCTTTTATGTGTGATTTGGCCATTTGTATAACTTCTTTGGAGAATTATGCATTCAAGTTCCCTGCTCAGTTTTGAAAATTATGTCTTTCGTGGACCTGAAGGAGTTCTTTATACATTCTGGATGGCATTCGTTATAGATATATGATTTGCAAATATTTTCTCCCATTCTGTGGGTTGTCTTTTCAGTTTCTTGGTAGTGTCCTTTGAAGCACAAATTTTCCATTTCGATGAAGTCGAATTTATCTATTTTTTCTCTCTTTGCTTGTGCTTTGTGCTGTGGCTAAGAAACCACTGCCTACCCCAAGGTCACAAGATTTACACCCATGTTGCTTGTAAGAGTTTTATAGTTTCAGCTCTTACACTTAGGTGTCCAATGCACTTTGAGTTAAGGTTTGTGGGAGGAGGGTTCCCACTTAATTCACTTGCATGTGGCTACCAGTTGTCCGAGCGCCATTTTATTGAAAACATTCTTTGGATGGCCTTGGTACCCTGAGTTGAAAATCAGTTGACCCAAGATGTGTTCGTTTGTGGACTCTTGTTCTAGTTCATTGATCTCTATGCCTGTTCTTATACCAGTACCACACGATCTTGATTACTGTAGCCTTGTGGCAAGTTTTGAAATTGGGTAGTATGAGACCTCCGAGGTTGCTCTTCTTTTCCTGGGTTGTTTTGGCTGTTCTGGGTCCCTTGCATTTCCGTATAAATTTTAGGATTAACTTGTCGATGTCTGCAATAAAGCCAGCCGGGATTTTGATAGTCATTGCATTGGTTCTATAGATTAATTTGGGGAGTATTGCTCTTTTTTTTTTTTTTAGGTGATGAATTATTAACTAACTTTATTGCGTTAATAATTTCATAATATATACATATATCAAATCATTGCATTATACATCTTAAATTTACACAGTGTTATATGTCAGTTATATCTCAATAAGGCGGGAAAAAAAGTTACAGGAAAAGTTCCAGACTGTGGGTAGGGACGATGTGTTTGGTTTTATTGTTGTGGTTGTTTTATTTGAGGGGACATATTTTTAAGTTGAAAAATAAACAGAAAGTCAAAGTGAAAAAAAAGAAATGTAACGTGCAGGGACTGGGGCGTGTTAGAGGACGAGCGAGGAGGCCAGTGCGGCTGGAGCGGAGTGTGGTTGAGAAGGAGGTAGGAAGTGAGTCAGAGGAGCAGCCAGGGGTATGTCAGGACTTCGAGTCTTATTCCAAGTGTGACAGCAAGCTGCAGAGCCCAGAGTGTCCTGATCTGAGTTATATTTTCAAGGGGCACTTGCCTGCTGTGTGGGGCAAGGGGGAAAGCGAGCAGACAGTTAGGAGGATGTTGCATAATCCAGGTGAGAGAGGATGGTTGGGCAAGAAGGTTAGCAGTGGGGGTGGAGAGAACTGTTCAGAATCAGGATCTATTACACAGGCAGAGCAACCAGAAATTTATTTTCTTTTTCAATTATCTTATTGAGGTCATAATGGTTTATAACACTGTGTAATTTCAGGTGCACATTATTGTTTGTTAGTTTGTGTATAGACTGCATTGTGCTCACCACTAATAGTCTAATTTTTGTCCATCACCATATATATGTGCCCCTTTACCCCTTTCGTCCACCCCTAGCCCCTTTCCCCTCTGGTAACCACTAATCTGTTATCCTTATCTATGTGTTTGTTTATCTTCTACATGTGAGTGAAATCATGTAGTATTGATCTTTCTCTGTCTGGCTTATTTTACTTAACGTCTTACCCTCAAGGTCCATCCATGTTGTTGCAAATGGGATGATTTTGTCTTTTTCATGCCTCAGTAGTATTCCATTGTGTATATACCACATCTTCTTTATCCATTCATCTGTAGAAGGGCACATGGGTTGCATCCATGGCTTGGCTATTGTGAATAATGCTGCAATGAACATAGGGATGCAGAAATCTCTTTGAATAGTTGATTTCAAGTTCTTTGGATAAATGCCCAGTAGTGGGATAGCTGGGTCATGTGTTATTTCTATTTTCAACTTTTTGAGGAATCTCCATACTGATTTCCATAGTGGCTGCACCAGTTTGCACTCCCACCAGCTGTGGATGAGGGTTCCCTTCTTTCCACACCCTCTCCAACATTTGTTATTTTTTGATTTGGTGATTATAGCCATTCTGACATGTGTGAGGTGATATCTCATTGTAGTTTTTAAAAATAAATTTTATTGGGGTCATCATAGTTTATAACATTGTGAAATTTCAGGTGTACCTTACTATTTGTCAGTGACAATATAAATGGGCCCCTTTACCCCTTATGCCCACCCCCCAACCCCTTTCCCCACTGGTAACCACTAAAATGTTCTCTTTGTCCATGTGTTTGTATATCTTCCACATATGAGTGAAATCATACGGTGCTTGTCTTTCTCTGTGTGTCTTATTTCCCTTAACATAATACCCTCAAGGTCCATCCATGTTGTTGCAAATGGGGTGATTTTGTCTTTTTTATGGCTGAGTAGTATTCCATTGTATATATATATATACTACATCTTTATCCATTCGTCAGTTGATGGGAAGTTGGTTTACATCCATGTCTTGGCTATTGTGAATAATGCTGCAATGAACATAGGGGTGCATAAGTCTCTTTGAATTGTTGATTTCAAGTTCTTTGGATAAATGCCCAGTAGTGGGATAGCTGGGTCATATGGTATTTCTATTTTTAGTTTTTTGAAAAATCTCCATACTGTTTTCCGTAGTCACTACACCATTTTGCATTCCCACCAGCAGTGTTTGAGGGTTCCCTTTTCTCCACATCCTCTCCAACATTTGCCATTTTTAGTCTTAGTGATTATAGCCATTCTAATGGGTGTAAGATGATATCTAAGTGGAGTTTTGATTTACATGTCCCTAATGATTAGTGATGTTGAACATCTTTTCATGTGCCTATCGGCCATCTGTATATCTTCT